GGATAATAAATGCAGAAGAAGATTGCGGACTTCCTGTCTGGCAAAGCCACTTCCTGGATGCAAACTGCCATGTCCCGCGTTCTTCCTATCCCGGAGGACTTCTTTTATTACTCGGATTCTTCATACTACAACTTTTTACCAGGCCGGCCGACGGACATCGTTAGCGGAAAGAATTAATTTTGTCGTCGTCCTTACTGTTATTCCCACGTACATTTTGATTACCAGACAAAGTATTTTTGCATTCAGGCACATTTCATGGTTCTTCTCCCAGCCTTTGGCCACAACCCCGCTTGAATCCTATTTTGGAAGTACAGTATCGCGCTCAGATGCTAACATAACGCTAAAACGAGTAATGCTAATGACAGAGGGCTTGTTAAAATGGAGTGGAAAAAAGGGCTGTCTCTATCTCTCATTTTACATCCATGTTTATTTTTTGCCTTTTATGGTAATATTGTCATAATTTGCTGTGACTGGCCAACGACGGATGTTTGAGAATAACAATAAGGACGAATTAAGCCAATGTGGTTTTAAGCTCTATACACAATCTCTTGTCTTCCAAATGAAAAGGTACAGTATTATGTGTTTATTATGATTATTATCATTAACACTTCCGCTTTCTATCCAATTTGAGCCCCGTGTTAATTTATTTCTTTTTGACCAGCATGTTTTATGCAAAAACATCCTGCTCCCATCCCCAGAGAAGAGTTGCAGAAACATTTTACTCTTCAGACTATCCTTCTGACAAATCATTAGAAGACTCCATCTGTAAACATTTGGCTCAACTGCATAGAAAGCTCTTTTTTATTATTATTCTGTTCAGTTAGATATTTAAAAAGAAAAAGGTTATGAACTGTGGAAATTATATATATATATATATATATATATATATATATATATATATATATATATATATATAAAAAATCACCCACACACACACATATCTATATATAGTTATATACATACAATATATGTGTATGTGACATGCATATACACATTCCTATAAATATATGAATATAAAGTGTTTTAAGAGACAAATTAGAATTCTAATAAAGATGAAAAGGTTTTAATACACTCACTCGTAATCTCTTCATGAAAGTAGTTTTTCTTGCACATGCACTTTTTGGGCTGCAAATGAGATTTTTTTTCAATATGTGGGGGGAGGGGGATCTGAGCACTTCAAAAAGGACAGTTAATCATGTCAGAGGTCAAATCGAAAAATCACAGATGAAATAATTTTGACATTACGTTTGTTTTTACATTTTGTAAATTGTTCTGAATTTGCATTTCAGATTGACGTTTTAACATTCTTGTGTGCCAACAAAGCAAAGGTTTAAAATTTCTAGCCTGTACCATTGGCAGGTTGACATTAAAATACAATTTTAGGCCCAAAATCATTCATACTGGAAACAGCTTTGCTCCATACTACCGCTTTTTTTTAACCTAAAGGGGATTTAAGAAACAAATGACATTAAGCTGACACCACTTTTGGTGTGACAAACAAGAATCAAGTACGGTATTTCTATTGCCTCGCATGTGGCAACATCATGACTTTAGAACATCTATCAAGATTCAAATTATTTGCACCCAAGTACATTCTTAGTGGTAGTTCTGCAGCAAATGTGTCGATTATAGCTTTTGCTCAAGTTTCCACTTTTTTTGGCTCCAGAGTTTATGCATGAAAGAGAATTCGACTCCATTAAGACCATGGGTTCATTTTATTACCAACTGAAATTGAATACTGCAAGTAAAACATTTCATTCATACATTAAAATAATTAAATTCACAATACATTAAATTTAAACATTTAGATGAAAATGATCCCCATCATTGACAAGATGGAGATCCGTCTCCACTGGTGGGCTAGGACACCCAAAAGGTGCTGGCCCTCTTTTCTGCTGCTTGTACCAGTGAGCTTTTTCCTCAGGGTGACCGCCGCCCTGGCCCACGTCCTTCTGACGATCAGGTACTCGCCATCAGCGTGCCACCGATAAAACTGCATCCAGGGTTGGTGGACACACTTTGCAGCAGGCAGGTTAGGGTGCACAAGAATGTTGCAGCTCATTCTTCGTTTGATCAATCAACCTGGGGACTTTGAAAAGAAGAAATATCCTTCAGATGGTTGATTCATCCACTTTTGGAGGAAAATAAAAAAAGCTTCAAATCTCAGACCCTGCCATGTCAGGAGCAGAGCTGCACTTTTATCAACAGAAAATTTCTGAGCCCAGTGCAATCCATCACAGAAGTAATTTATTTTAAATTATTTTATTAAAAGGAAAAAAAAAAATACCTCCATGTCTCGACGACCAGCTTTGGCATCCCCAGTGAGGCCACAGAGATGCAGAACACGGGCGGATCCACACATGGATGATCCCATTTGGGTCTTAAGTGGAAATCTGCAAATATAAAGGTGTACAGAAAGTTACTAGGTCGTGGTCACAGATGGTATCATTTTTGCTTGATCCTCCTCAGTATCTTTGACTTGTCAAGGCCAAAGGTGCACACAATCTCCATGTGGTCTCAGAGCCCAGTGCACGTCATCACAGGAGAATTTTCAATGTAAAAAAAAAATTAAAGCAAATTGTATTTTACAATGTTCGTTAGCTTGGAGCTAAAGGAGCCGCCTCGCAGGCTAACCACGTGCGCAGAGGCCCACTGGAGCAAGACTTCACTGTACAAATGCGTCTCTTGAAACTTTTTCTCGTCGATTAATCAATGACAGGAACCATTAAGAGTGCTTTAATTTAATAAATAGGAGTAACGCACTTGTAATATTAATTCGGCTAAGATTGTAATACAAGTATTACAATCTTGTAAAATTAGTTGCAGTTAAAAATGACACACGCATTGCAGACGACAGGCAAAGTTACTGCTGCTCTGCTTAAGGGGTGAAAAAAATTGGCATTTGTGTCATATATTCCTCTCGATGTTAAAGGTTGATCCTTACCTTGCACGACAGAATCTCAAGAGTAAAAGTGAACGACGACTCCTCCGATATCTGGCTTTATACTCACTTATTGGCTTCCGGTCACATTCTGTGTGCTTTCCTGCCCTCGCGTGGACGGAGGGCGTGTTGCAAATCAGTTTTCCGTGTGCTTTACTGCCCTCGCGTGGACGGAGGGCGTACTGCACAGCAGTTTTCCCAGACCCCATTTTAGAAATGCTGATTCGCGAATGACAGTATCAATTAATACAGCGATGATGTTAACGATTTGTGGCAAAGTGTTTCTGTGTTCAGTTCGGCGTGATGCAGTAGTGTCGAATCGGAACCCTTTTACAATTTTCCGTTTTTCTAAATTGTAACAACATCACTTAAACGTACAGAAAATTTAACGCTGCCTCGCCGATTAACTGATGGTACGAGTAATTACGATTAGAATAATGTTTACGCCTAGTGACAACATTGCCCCCGCGCGCCCTCCACATAATGAGACAAATTAAATAGCGACACAATGAATTAATATGAAGATTATGTTCCAAGTGAATGCTTCTTTGTTTCATTCGGCATGATGTTTGATGCAATAGTTACAGTCACTGTAACACAGTGACCTTCCAAATGCACTTGAAAGGCGTTGTCTCCTGTCTCTTGGTGTCTGCTATCGTTTTAACCACGGGACATCCCAGTGTGTGTCCCGTCTTGTCCGCTTTTGATGGCAGGATGACTAACGACTGGATTACCGTCTGCTCACTGCTGCTTCCAGCTGTTAGCATGACAACACAGCAGCTCCAACAACCGGCTTACGACAAGGCAAGTTGAGACACGGTCAGGCTGCACGAGAGCAACAGTACATGATGTAATCCAACAGGCACCAATGGGAGACACATTTTTTCTACAGCATTTCTATCTCAAATTACAGTAACTTTTCATTCTTGGTACTTTCTTGGAACAAAAAAAAGTTGCTAATCAAATCTGCGGACTCCCACCCAAAGATTCCTGGACCCCTTATAAGTACCCCACCGCTTTTTTTTTTTTTTTTAACATTGGCCGTTGACGCGCTATGAATCGTTTTTGTTCTCCAAGAGTTTGTCCTAATTTTCCTCCTGCCAAAATGCGGCTGCATTTGTTTGGGGGGGGGGGGTGTCATCTCTCTCTCTCTCGCACGCACACGCGCGCGCGCCGGATGTCTCTTCCAGCTGTGCTCGCAGGGGAATGCTGAGGGGGTAAAGAGTGAAATTTTGTGCTGCTTCAAGCTTCTTTTGTGGGGCAATAAAGTTAGTAATGGCCTCATCTGGGACGCGCGCGCGCATACACGCACACGCGCGCACACACACACACGGCGTAACAAAAAATTGTGCATGAAGTTGAAGACGGCGAGCTTACAAGCGCGTGATACAAATAAGTCCCGCAGCTGTTTCAGGGAGGTAAAAGGGGGGTAGAGAAAGGGCTAAAAGGGGGCGCTGAACAAGGGAAAGAGAGGAGTTCGAGGACTGAGGGAGGAGGGGCGAGGAGGCTTGAGGAGGGAGGAGGAAGAGGAGGCCAACTCATCTGACACGAGCGCGAAAAAGCCAAAGGGAAGAGAGACGATCGGGAGCGGCACCGTGCAAGACGAGAACAGGATTTAAAAAAAAAAAAAAAACATCGTGTAAAAAGTGATTACGTTGAGAGACAACGGGAGAAAACTTTTACGGGTTAGGTAAGTATCTGAAGGGAGTGTCCCTCATTGCTCTTCATTCTTTGCTGTTTTTTTCCTGTGTGCGTGTTTGCGCGCGCGCGTTCGCGCACACTGAGTTATGTCTGACAGATGAAAACGGGGGCAAGGGGGGGGGACGATCTACTCTAACATGACGCCCGCTTGGCTGCAGGATTCATGCTCGTTCAGTTGCCAAGATGCACCACGTGAACTTTTCTTTCTTTCTTTCTTCTTTTTTAACTGTTTCAAATGTTCTAAATTCAACAACTTCAACTACCGTTGTCTCCATTGGGGCCTTCTGCAAGCACAAGCAAAACATGAAAGCGCTTTGGATAAAGAAATTCAAGTTGGACCATCTGAGGTCCCTTTTTGCGAAAAACAGAGTTGATTAGTGCAGCTTTGCTATTTGTGCCAAAGCGCATTTGAAGTGTGACTCCTCTTAAAAATCAGCCAAATGAATTTCTGATGACAATATATTGACATGATGAGATATTGATGTGACGATAATGTTCATGTGGCGGCTTCTAGTGTTTGAACTTTTTACATGCAAGTCAATTCACAAAACGAGTTCACGTGACTCACCCTGGATTTCTGATTTAACTGATGATAGGTGATTAATGAGGACAATGTTTTATGAGTGGTCGCGACATATTCATTTGGCTCAGTGTTTGACAGAATAACTCATCAGCTTCTGATTAGGGACTTTTCACACATTGGTCTACTTACAATGACGCTAACGTATCTATCACGATACTCCATTAAAGGAAACTGCAAATTAAGATTGGCTTGCTGATAAGCGATGGCACCAGCAATCAATGTGTTTATGATGTTAACAAAGGTGATGACATTTCCTGTAATTAATTCAGCTTGGTTTTTGACGCAATCATGGCAAATTAGATTTTCATTTGTGACTTTTTCAAAGTGCAAATATACCAAACGTGACACCCGTCACAAGAACATTTACAAATAGTAGCAAAGCAGTTCTATGCGTTAATTCAACATGTTTTTTTTTAAATGCGACTTTGTCCACTTAATTTCACACAGAAAACTGCTGGTCCCGACTGCAACGAGTCAAGTGATTTTACGCACAGTAGCAATGCACTTTTGTTTTTAATTTGGCACGATACAATAACATCACATCAACTTCTTATTTGACTGACAGATGACTGCAAAACCTGCAAAAGTGCCTTTTCAAAGTAGCCCCACAGCCCCCCTGTCTACACAACACAGGAAGTAGAGGTCAGGGTTCAAATGGACAGCAATTCAGTACGTCCTTGAGGGTTATGTCTTTCTCACCAGAGAAAGAGAACGAGATAGACTGCGTGAGACGCTGAGCATGTGATATTCCACGCACAATGGCAACAAATCAGTGCGGGGAAAAAGCTTAGGCGCTATGGACGGGAAGATAAAGGCTGTGCTAGCGTTAGCAAGTGTGGGAATCAAGTTGAATTTGGACAGGAAGTTACGACTGGCACATTCCCACCAGATCTATTTTTAGACAACAGTGAGTTGAAAATTAGGAGATATTAATAAAACATGAACTGATTTGGGGACCGCTTTCATGCGCATGGTCGTCATAGGCGAGTAACCAGCCTAACCACTAACTAGCCGCGAGTTAGTGGTTAGGCTAGCGTCTTGGCAGGATCGTGCTGGGGGAACCTGCACAAGGGACATTCAATTTGGTGAAATGTTTGTGGTTCCTTTTTTGATGAATGATGAAAGCAGGTTTTGGATACAGCTATGCAGCTGCCTCATAGTCAGTTGAATTTGTCAAACAAAAACAGACACATTCTGTGTGAAGCTATGTGTCCAGTAGCATAGTCATCCTTCTAGAATTAACAGGCACACCGAGATGCAGACTCTGGATAACGTTATGCAACTGCTTGTAGAGTAGGGGTGTCAAATCTGGTCCTCGAGGGCTCCTGCTCATCAGCCAGCTCTGCAGAAGCCTGATAATGATCGTGGCCATTCGAATCAGGTCTCTTGAAGGAGGGGAAAGATCTAAAAGAAGCAGTGTAGTGGCCACTCGAAGACCGTATTTGACATGCCTGGTTTGCAGTTTACAGATAAAGCCATTTGTCCCAATTGGCACAAAATGACATAAGAGCTAGCTTGCTATAGCTATATGTGTCATGATACTAACGAGACACTGCTTCATCTTGCAGACACCAAAATGTCGACGCTGCCAGCCAACAACAACCACGAGGATGCGAATCATCGCAGCTTCTGGATGGTAAGATGATGTAAGATGTACGAAGTTCTCGCTAAGTTAACACGCCAACTGTGAACATGTTAGCATTTTAGCAACTTTCATTTGATAGTGTCGATTGACAAGGAAAAAAAAAAGTAAAACGCTTATCTATTTGCCAAGTTTTCTAATTTTCTGCATTTACATGACAATATTTCAAATTCACATTGCAGAAAATGAAAAAATATAAATTGACTATGATTTTATCACTGGTTTGGTCGGTAACGTCAAAAATTGGCTAAAGTGGTGATTATTGTTTTCTCATGTAAAAGCAGATGTTTGCAAATGTCTTATTTTAAAAAAAAAAAGGAATAAGTGTGCTTTCATGGAGTATCACAGAAATCTGAAAATATTTTGTGTTATGGACCTGAAATTCTGAGTTTTGGACAAATTTAAATTGAACAAGGGCTCTAAACAATTAATCGATTATCAAAAAACTGACCATTATTTACCGTTGCCATAGTAATGGAATCTGGGACATGACTGCAAATTCTTATTAATCTGCTTAAACACTTTATTTACCCAGGTTTATGTCCAAGCGTAGCCAAACCATTTTATCCACTAGATAATAGTGACTTATTGCAGGGGAGAATGTTAAACTTGTGTGTGTGTGTGTGTGTGTGTGTGTGTGTGTGCGTGTGTGTGTGTGTGCGTGCGTGTGCGTGCGTGCGTGCGTGTGTGTGTGTGTGTGTGTGTGTGTGCGCGCGTGTGCGTGTGCGTGCACGTGTACGTGTACGCGAACGTGTATGCGTACGCGTCTGCACATGTGTGATGGGGCTCGAGACTAAACACATGACAAAGTGTCGTCTGCCTTGAGGCAGCGGATCGCTCCTAGTTAACAAGGTGTTCTTTGTTTAAACGTAAATAGAAGTCAGCCATTACGACACGGAAGCATGAACGAGGATTCGCTTCTGATTGAGTTTCACATGACTCAATAGATGAATTTAAAAAATCAAACTTGTATCAAACTGGTTCCTGCACTTGTTTTACTGTAGTCTTCATGCAGGATGAGAAAACATTTTGGCTTGTGGCAATGTGACATTCATTAGAGAGGCGCCCTCTCCCCCTTCTTTGTTTCCAGTTAGCATGCTACGCTAGACTAATTGGATGCAGCTCACAGTTGAGACACAAGAAACAGTATGCCTCCCAAGTCAACTGCTGTTCCCAGAATGTCCAGCCATTCCCTTGACGCAGACCTTTTCTACCTTTATGCATTTGACGTGTAAAATTTGGGATATGTGGCTCCTAATTTTATATGATTTCATTTTAGATACCAACCGTTAACAAGTTCGCATTTTATCGATCCTTATGAAAAAATATTTTTCCCACAGTCCGCCAGAGTGCTTTCCATACTCGGACTGCTATCTAGCTACAAAGTTAGCATGTTAGCATTTTAGCCAGTCTCATTTTAAATACTGTAGTTCCTAACTGCAAAGCAAGATGTAAAATTTTTATTAATCGTCCTACAATATTTTTGTCCTTAGTACGCTATGTATTTTATGAATTTTTAAAATTATATACTATTTTATTTTGTTGTTATTGTTTATTATTTATTTATTATGTTTTAAAGATATATTTTTATTTTTTGGGTGATATTTTTCTGTCCTTAGCATTGCTACAGCTAGCATGTTAGCATTTGTTAATCTTTACAGTCGTTTAACCATTGTTGCAGTGCACACAGACACCAAACTGCACGCGCACACACACACACACACACACACACACACACACACACACTCAAAAATGTCTATTTGCGTTAGGCTAGCCATGGTAGCATTCCAGACTTCCCAGATTCCATTGCAAGCACAATATAGAACCTGCTGCTAGCCTGTTAGCATCTATCAACTGGTTTTGTGCTGTGTTGTTTCTGTTGGCCCGCCAGCGGATTCCTCAGCTGGTTCTGCTTAGGGAAGACACATGCATACACACACACACACCCACGCACAGACGTGCACACACGCACAACTCTCTTACTGTTTAACTCACTCACCCAGTTGCTGTCACACACTCTCAATCGCTCACATACTAACCTCTTTCGCCACAGATTCATCCATTCTCACACCCTCGCTCTCACGTGCACACACTCTCACACTCACACTCACACACACACCGTAGAGCTCTTAGTAATAGACGACATGAACTACATCAAACACTGAAATAGACATTTTGATGGGAATGACAGTGGGACTGCCACATTATTTCATACATCTGGAAGACTCCAAAGGCTTTTTACAATAAATGTTCCTTCCTATTTATCTTAATTCCATGCTCATTTCCTGTCATGTCATGAAAGGAGATGACTTACTGTCGAACTGACAGTAAACTCAGTGCAGGAAAAGTCGAAGGCTGCCAGGAAACTTTGGACCGTGACGTCCAAGCTCCACATCCACAAACTGGCCTCTCTCTTGCTTCTCTCCTTGTGTGGGACTCTGGCTTGGTGTCCTTTGGCGTCCTCTGGTGGCCGTCCTGTTAACTCCCAAGCCCAAACGCCCTTTTAGGAAATGTGTAATTTTGGATTACGTGCCACAAACCTCTGACTTTCTCTGTAGATTTCATTAGCGACCAACCTTTGTTAACATCGTTAGAGCAGGAACGCTCTTGATTTTGAAGGTCTAAATCCTCGTCTCTTTGTCTTTTAGCCTGGCAACTACCAGCGCACGGTACGACGCACGGAGGACGCGTTCCAGGCGTGCAGCGACCTGGCAACGTGCATCCAGGAGCGAGCCCGAGTGGAGCGTCAGTATGCAGTGCAGCTCAAAGAGTGGAGCAACAAGTGGAAGCCGCATGTGGACTCCAGTGAGTGCTTGAATGTCAGAAAGCCACAACCAACCTACAAACCTGTTTAGGAGTTTAGACCAGGCTTGCCCAAGTCCGGTCCTTGAGACACCTTGTCCACAGTTTTAGACATCAGTGAGCGATGCAGAAGCCAGGAGCCTGATAATGATCCTGATCAGTTGAATCGGGTATATTGGAGGGAAGCAGGCATCTAAAACAGGCTGCCTCGAGGCTCTCAAGGATCGGACTTGGGCACCCCTGGTCTTGACTCAAGATGTTTTCCAGTCCCTATTGAAGGTCCTGAGAACTTTCTCTCTGCACCTTTTCTAGAGTCCAGTATCCCTCATCAATACGAGACTCATGTCTTAGGACCAAAAAGTCTTTTTGACTAGAACCTTTTGGGACTAGACTAAAACCTTCTCCCAGGAGTAGTAGCTTCACTCGGGACCAACAGCCTCTTGGGACTAAAACCTTCTCGAGACTGACACTTTCCCTTCAGACTAGAACCATCTGTCGGAGGCACAAACCTTATTTTAGGAGTAAAGCCTTCCCCTGGGACTAAAACTTTCTGTCAGGACTAGAATCTTCCCATGGGACTCAGATTTCTTAGGACAAGAACCTTCTCACTGGAATGGATCTGTCTCCCAGGCTAGAACTTTTTCTCTGGACAATACCTTTTCTCTGGACTCCCGTATTTTTGGAAACTAAGACTTTGTCAACAGTAGAACTTTGTCTTGAACCTTCTCTCAGTCCTAAAGCCTTCCCTTGAGATTTCAACTACTATCTAGGAAAGTCCGTAGTCCAAAAGTTGGCATGTGTTATTTTACTGAATATTTACAGCTAGTATGTCAAACTGTTACTGTGGCGATGAACTGGAGCCTATTCCAGCTGACTTCGGGCAGTATTGAATCTGTGTATATATTTCACCTTCCTCTTCTTCAGGTCCTCTGTACGGGTCCCTGCAGAAGGCCTGGCAGTGTTTTCTGTCTTCGGCCGACCGTCTGGCATCTCTGCACGCTTCCATCTGCCGCTCCCTGGTGACCGAAGATGCCGAGAGGCTGAGGGTCTGGCAAAAGGACAACTTCACCAAGAAGATCTTCGGGGGGTTCAAGGAAGCCCAGGACGCTGAGACCGGCTATGCCAGAGCACAGAAACCTTGGACCAAACGTCTCAAAAAGGTTAGGAAAAGTCAGTTCCCGGCTGTTAGAAACTGAGATTTTCATCGCTGAGGATGTCGAGTGTGATCTTATTTGATATGTTGTCAGCTGGACAAAGCCAAACGGGCATACCACAAGGCCAGTCGCAAGGAGCACGCCGCCCGGGAGCGCGAGTCACAAGCACAAGCCAGTCAGAACATGGCGGCGGACAAGCAGAAGAAGATTCAGGAGGATCGAGAGATGGTGCAGCAGGAGACGCACAAGGTAATGAACCACCAACAGCAATAAGAATTTCTTCGTCATTTTTAAATTGTATTGTTTGTCAATTAATTCATCCCATTAAATAATTGTTTAGTTGACTTCTTGTAAATAATCAAATCAACTCAAATGGTGAAATGAAAGAGCAGAGTATTTGGTATGTGGATGGTGGGCCAGACTCTGCCCCCCCCTCCCGCTTCATCACAAGTTCCTTTTAATGTTGTGGTGTTTCTCTGTGCATGATAGGTGCGAACCCGCTATGAGAAAGTACTGGAAGAGACCAATCGCTACGCCCCTCGCTACATGGAGGAGATGGAGGCCGTCTTTGACCAGTCGCAGGACGAGGAGCGCAAGAGGATCATCTTCCTCAAGCAGGCCTTCCTCTCCTTCGACAAGCACCTCGACGTCACCACCAACGACAGGTTGCCTCACCCGGGTCTATTCCTATCCATTTCGTCGGTATCACCATTGTATATTCAAGTCAACTTCACGTATACCGCTACTGGATAATTCCATAAACCTAATCAAAGGTACAAATGTACATTCAAGTCAACTTTATTGTTACCTCCGTACGTTTTTCAATGAACCGCACGAGAGGTACCGTTGAATTGTTAAATTAACATCAAAGGTAAGACTGTGAAAGCAAATCAACTTCTTATGTACCATTACTTTGTATTTTAATGACCTTCAACTCCGAGACCCCGGAGTACATATAAATCACCTTCAAAGGTACTGCCACTGTGTTCATTGACCTTCACCCAACTTCAAAGGCGCTGCTGTGTATTTTAGGGAGCTACGTCTTTGAAAAGGCAGTCAGCTAACATCAAAGGCACCACCGGTTAGCAAATTAACTTCAAGTGTACCAACACTGTATTGTACTTCCAAGGTACTTCTTCATATTTAAAAAAAAATTCAAAGGTACCACCAGCCTATATTTAAATAAAATTCAAAGATCTTTCTGTGTATTTAAAAACACAACTTCATTGGTACTAACCATACATTCAAATTAAGATCTACCACCATTGTTCTTTGAAAATACCTTCAACCAACTTCAAAAGAACTTAACTTTAAAGGTGCCACTGTATATTTAAATTAGCTTTGGAGGGACCACTGTTTATTTAAATGAACTTCAAGGGTACCACTGTATATCTTAATAATCTTCACGCAAAGGCGCCACTGTATATGTAAATAAATGCAGCATTTAACTTCCCGTGTGCCGCTTCCTCTCCCACCTGTGTCAAACTAACAGGAAAATAATATCCCTCCCCGCTGACGAACACAAGGCCGGTCAGCACTTTATAAAATTCACATAATTCATCATCTGCATGTTGATAAACATCATCAATCATTCTCTCATTTCTCTCGTTGCCGCAGTGTGAAGGAAGTTTACGGCCAACTGCACGATACGGTGGCAGCCATCGACGAGCACGAGGACCTCCGTTGGTGGAAGAACACGCATGGGCCAGGCATGCCCACTGATTGGCCGCACTTTCAGGTGCCCCTCACGGCTAATTAGCTTAGCATTAAAAAAAAGAAAAGAAATAAAACAAAAAAAAAAACAATTAAAAACTGGCAAAACTAACGGCCAGTAGCTATTGATAGGTCATTAGCCACATTGCTATAGCTAGCTGTGATGTTTCTTACATGCAACAAAATCAAATATGAGACATGTTGACAGCGGGACTGGTCTGTTGTCAACAGCCTGCGGTCTCAGATCTTACCAACAGAGGGCGCCAACACACTGGAACAGCAGTCAAGTTCAACTGCATGCAAACATTATAGACTACAGTACTAGCTAATATTAAATTCTTAGCCATAACGTCAAAATATGTTCTAGGATTTTGCAGAACATGCTAGTAGTGAGATAACAGTTACTCATGCTAACATACTTATTCTGATTCTGTTTTTTTTCCAACTGAATTAATGTTCAGGAATGGACACCTGAGAAAAAAAATAAAAAAGGGAAAGAGGTGGTTGGAGAGAAAGCAACATTAGAGAAGAGGTAAAGAAATTCAACGCAAAAGTATGATGATGACGATACGGTCGATGAGCTGTTTTGTTGTTGTTGTTGTTTTTTTTTAGCGCAATGATTGTTGGTGTGAAAGTGAGAGCGTTGTACGACTACGTCGGCCAGGAGACGGATGAACTCTCCTTCAAAGCTGGTAAACATCACTACCAACTTATTATTATTATTTTTAACACCATTTGTGTGCCACACACGCACACACACACACACAAAAACATGACAAAATAATACTGTTCGTCTTCCTCTTTGCAGGCGAAGAGTTCATGAAGACTGAGGAAGAGGATGACCAGGGCTGGTGTAGAGGAGTGAAGGACGGTGGCCTGGAGGGACTTTATCCCGCTAATTACGTGGAGGTGGTTTAGTGGAAAAAGAAAAAATATTTTTTAATCGAGTTGATACATTTCTCCTGTGGATGTTTGCTTTCTAAGACAAAAAACAAAAAAAATCAACAACAACAACAATGCTGTACATAAAAATTGTAGCCCTTAGCCAAAGATCTGTGGACATTTTAACATGCAGAGACATTAAGATTATTTTTAAGGTGACCATTTATACTCTGAGGCTATGCTGTGTTTGTTTAGTTCACCATAGCTACCACAAACATTTCCTCATTGTTTTGTTAGGAAGTTCTGTTTCGAAGTCCTATTCCGAAGTTACATTTTGATGCACGTTCCAAGTGCAAGTTATGTAGTTACATCACAAAGTTTTATTGCAAAGGTTACGAAGGTACGTTATGAAATAATTTTGTGACGGTACATTACAAATTCATGTTTTGAATGTATGCTTCAAATGTACGTCAGCGAATTTACATTGCAAATGTACGTTAGGAAAGGTAAGTTATGAACTTAGTTTCTGAATGGGAGTTAAAATCAGATGTTACGAAAATACTTTACAGGGGTACTTTGCAATTGTGTGATTGTTTGTCAATCACATTCTTTGTGGCTATGCTGTTTTGTATAACATGAGTCGTCAGGCGTGACGGAGAATATTCGAAATTGTACATTTCTACATCATGTCAAGCGCATTAGCGATGCTAAAGAAACGCGTGCTAAATGCCAAACTGTCAGTATTTATTGTGTTAAAGTGTGGTGCTAAAAATCTTATTTTATTACACTTCCTTGTTTGAAAGAAGCTATGTTTAGCAAGAAATACCACTTTTGGCAAACGTGTTCCTTTGAATATATACCTATAAATCTTCACTGTAAGTGTATAAATATAAGAAGCATTCCACTTTGGTCTTATCCACTATATGTGTGTGAAACACTCTTGTACCCCAAATCTTTTTGTTTTTTTAGGAAATAAACTTTTGGAACTTTCGTGTGAGTGTGTGAGCGTGTTTGCAAACTTGCCAACGCCATTTTATAAATTGGGGGTGGTGTTGTATGTACCGCACATGAGAAATATGGCGTGCGTTGCCGCTTATCTGTATCATCCATTTTCTTGTGATTCCAATCTGGCAACCCTGACTTTGTGGTGATTGGTGCTCAAAGCTAGCGCGGAAAGCAGATGCACGATATAAACTGCTCAACATCATCCATCCATCCATTTTCTGATCTGCTTATCCTCGCGTGGGTCGCCAGGCATGCTGGAGCCTCTTCTAGTTGACTTCGGGCAGTAGGCGGGATTCACCCTGACCTGGTTGCCAGCCAATCACAGGGCACGCATAGACGAACAACCATTCGCGCGCCGCTCACACACATACCTATAGACAATTTAGAGTGTTCCATTAACCTGCCATGCATTTTTTTTTTTTTTTAATGTGGGAGGAATTCGGAATACCCGGATGAAACCCAGCAAATTCCACACAGGAATTGAAACCTGCACCTCTGCAGTGTGTCATGATTGTTCTGCTGGTGACCAACAGGTGGCATTGGAGGGCTTCTCCTACAGAGTCGCACCTGTTGGTCATCATGTCATTAGTTCTTTTCTTTCAAAAAGAACGCCATGTCGACCACTCGGGCTTGGATCGTGTTACTTTTGGTTTGTTTTATTGATTTAGTTTGTTCAGTGCACGTCTAGATATTTTTGTTAATACAATCCTGCTTCTCCTGCTTTTTGGGTCCACGGACTCATGACACTTTGAGGCGGACATGCTAACTTGTCGTCCACCATGCTACCCACACACATTGTGCAGTGCAGTTTTCCCTACGCATTTGCATTTTTTTTTTTCCGAAAAAGTTTGACTAAGCAGTAGTGGTCACTAGCTGAGACATATTACCTTCAGAGTTCCTCCAGTGCCCTGAACTTTTTTCACTTTTTGAAAAATTGCTTCCAATACTCTTCTCTAGTTCTGTTTAATTGCACAGTAAACTTCAAGTAGGCGTGGCAACAAACGGTGCCAAGCCTTTACTTTTTTAAGAATTATTGAGTAATGCTAAGCTTCTTGTGAAATGACTTATGATGAGTTCCCCATAAGGAGCTTGTCTTTTAATTTTTTTTTTTTTTTTGCAAGTCAAATGAAAAAAAATATCTCACGGCACCATTGCCCATGATTTGACTGCTTCGGAGCAAAACTCAAGGTAGGAGATGTGATTTTTTTTCCCCCCCCACCTTCTGAATGCTAATTTAATTTACACTGATGATCATTCAGAAACTTACCTTGCGCAATATTATGTACAGCCCTTCGTTCGAGCTGCACTTGGTTTTTTTTTTTTTTCAAGTGCTCTATAAATAAAGTTGAGTTGAATCTTTAAGCCTCTCCACTCTTGATAAAGTTTCCTTGTCGGATGCAGGGTGCACTTAAGGAACTGCGATGATTAGGCGTTCCAGTGAACCAAATGAATAAAAGGTCTTGTGACACCTCAGGAAAAAAAAACAAACAAACGAGTTTAAGTGCGCTGCTTCACGGCAGCCAAATAGCGAGTGGGTGAAGACGTCCCTCATTTTCTTTAGGGGAACGTTTACGAGGAACGACAAGCTAAGTTGATGACCGGAGTGCTTGTTTTTCTTTTGGTCTGCCATTGAAGACTTTGCTCGCCTCTTGGCCTCAGTTCACCAAAGCCTTTAAATGTTATTAACGTCAAACGTCCCCGGTGGCCGTCACTTGCTGAAAAAGAGTCCTTCACTGGGGGGTGCGCCCGTCATGCGTTGAAAACTTGCCAATGGGCCGTCATACGCCGAAATGTATTGGGCGAGTGGCTGGGCTCCTTCCGTGCCGAAAAATAATCGTTGAGGAGCTGCGAGCGTCCGTGATGGCCAGGATTGGACTGTAATTTAACAGGCGTTCGGGGAAAATTAACATTTATCCGACATTACCGATAGCCGCCCGGCTCCTGGAAACAACAGCGACTCAAAAATACTTGTACATGTGGGAGTGGAGGTAAAGACGTACCAGCTCGGACACACTGTGTAGCAAATGCATAGTGGGTAATCTTTTTTTTTTTTGTGGGGGGGGGGGAATAGGTGCCACTGTATATTTAAATTAGCTTTGGAGGGACCACTGTTTATTTAAATGAACTTCAAGGGTACCACTGTATATCTTAATAATCTTCACGCAAAGGCGCCACTGTATATGTAAATAAATGCAGCATTTAACTTCCCGTGTGCCGCTTCCTCTCCCACCTGTGTCAAACTAACAGGAAAATAATATCCCTCCCCGCTGACGAACACAAGGCCGGTCAGCACTTTATAAAATTCACATAATTCATCATCTGCATGTTGATAAACATCATCAATCATTCTCTCATTTCTCTCGTTGCCGCAGTGTGAAGGAAGTTTACGGCCAACTGCACGATACGGTGGCAGCCATCGACGAGCACGAGGACCTCCGTTGGTGGAAGAACACGCATGGGCCAGGCATGCCCACTGATTGGCCGCACTTTCAGGTGCCCCTCACGGCTAATTAGCTTAGCATTAAAAAAAAGAAAAGAAAAAAAACAAAAAAAAAAACAATTAAAAACTGGCAAAACTAACGGCCAGTAGCTATTGATAGGTCATTAGCCACATTGCTATAGCTAGCTGTGATGTTTCTTACATGCAACAAAATCAAATATGAGACATGTTGACAGCGGGACTGGTCTGTTGTCAACAGCCTGCGGTCTCAGATCTTACCAACAGAGGGCGCCAACACACTGGAACAGCAGTCAAGTTCAACTGCATGCAAACATTATAGACTACAGTACTAGCTAATATTAAATTCTTAGCCATAACGTCAAAATATGTTCTAGGATTTTGCAGAACATGCTAGTAGTGAGATAACAGTTACTCATGCTAACATACTTATTCTGATTCTGTTTTTTTTCCAACTGAATTAATGTTCAGGAATGGACACCTGAGAAAAAAAATAAAAAAGGGAAAGAGGTGGTTGGAGAGAAAGCAACATTAGAGAAGAGGTAAAGAAATTCAACGCAAAAGTATGATGATGACGATACGGTCGATGAGCTGTTTTGTTGTTGTTGTTGTTTTTTTTTAGCGCAATGATTGTTGGTGTGAAAGTGAGAGCGTTGTACGACTACGTCGGCCAGGAGACGGATGAACTCTCCTTCAAAGCTGGTAAACATCACTACCAACTTATTATTATTATTTTTAACACCATTTGTGTGCCACACACGCACACACACACACACAAAAACATGACAAAATAATCCTGTTCGTCTTCCTCTTTGCAGGCGAAGAGTTCATGAAGACTGAGGAAGAGGATGACCAGGGCTGGTGTAGAGGAGTGAAGGACGGTGGCCTGGAGGGACTTTATCCCGCTAATTACGTGGAGGTGGTTTAGTGGAAAAAGAAAAAATATTTTTTAATCGAGTTGATACATTTCTCCTGTGGATGTTTGCTTTCTAAGACAAAAAACAAAAAAAATCAACAACAACAACAATGCTGTACATAAAAATTGTAGCCCTTAGCCAAAGATCTGTGGACATTTTAACATGCAGAGACATTAAGATTATTTTTAAGGTGACCATTTATACTCTGAGGCTATGCTGTGTTTGTTTAGTTCACCATAGCTACCACAAACATTTCCTCATTGTTTTGTTAGGAAGTTCTGTTTCGAAGTCCTATTCCGAAGTTACATTTTGATGCACGTTCCAAGTGCAAGTTATGTAGTTACATCACAAAGTTTTATTGCAAAGGTTACGAAGGTACGTTATGAAATAATTTTGTGACGGTACATTACAAATTCATGTTTTGAATGTACGCTTCAAATGTACGTCAGCGAATTTACATTGCAAATGTACGTTAGGAAAGGTAAGTTATGAACTTAGTTTCTGAATGGGAGTTAAAATCAGATGTTACGAAAATACTTTACAGGGGTACTTTGCAATTGTGTGATTGTTTGTCAATCACATTCTTTGTGGCTATGCTGTTTTGTATAACATGAGTCGTCAGGCGTGACGGAGAATATTCGAAATTGTACATTTCTACATCATGTCAAGCGCATTAGCGATGCTAAAGAAACGCGTGCTAAATGCCAAACTGTCAGTATTTATTGTGTTAAAGTGTGGTGCTAAAAATCTTATTTTATTACACTTCCTTGTTTGAAAGAAGCTATGTTTAGCAAGAAATACCACTTTTGGCAAACGTGTTCCTTTGAATATATACCTATAAATCTTCACTGTAAGTGTATAAATATAAGAAGCATTCCACTTTGGTCTTATCCACTATATGTGTGTGAAACACTCTTGTACCCCAAATCTTTTTGTTTTTTTAGGAAATAAACTTTTGGAACTTTCGTGTGAGTGTGTGAGCGTGTTTGCAAACTTGCCAACGCCATTTTATAAATTGGGGGTGGTGTTGTATGTACCGCACATGAGAAATATGGCGTGCGTTGCCGCTTATCTGTATCATCCATTTTCTTGTGATTCCAATCTGGCAACCCTGACTTTGTGGTGATTGGTGCTCAAAGCTAGCGCGGAAAGCAGATGCACGATATAAACTGCTCAACATCATCCATCCATCCATTTTCTGATCTGCTTATCCTCGCGTGGGTCGCCAGGCATGCTGGAGCCTCTTCTAGTTGACTTCGGGCAGTAGGCGGGATTCACCCTGACCTGGTTGCCAGCCAATCACAGGGCACGCATAGACGAACAACCATTCGCGCGCCGCTCACACACATACCTATAGACAATTTAGAGTGTTCCATTAACCTGCCATGCATTTTTTTTTTTTTTTAATGTGGGAGGAATTCGGAATACCCGGATGAAACCCAGCAAATTCCACACAGGAATTGAAACCTGCACCTCTGCAGTGTGTCATGATTGTTCTGCTGGTGACCAACAGGTGGCATTGGAGGGCTTCTCCTACAGAGTCGCACCTGTTGGTCATCATGTCATTAGTTCTTTTCTTTCAAAAAGAACGCCATGTCGACCACTCGGGCTTGGATCGTGTTACTTTTGGTTTGTTTTATTGATTTAGTTTGTTCAGTGCACGTCTAGATATTTTTGTTAATACAATCCTGCTTCTCCTGCTTTTTGGGTCCACGGACTCATGACACTTTGAGGCGGACATGCTAACTTGTCGTCCACCATGCTACCCACACACATTGTGCAGTGCAGTTTTCCCTACGCATTTGCATTTTTTTTTTTCCGAAAAAGTTTGACTAAGCAGTAGTGGTCACTAGCTGAGACATATTACCTTCAGAGTTCCTCCAGTGCCCTGAACTTTTTTCACTTTTTGAAAAATTGCTTCCAATACTCTTCTCTAGTTCTGTTTAATTGCACAGTAAACTTCAAGTAGGCGTGGCAACAAACGGTGCCAAGCCTTTACTTTTTTAAGAATTATTGAGTAATGCTAAGCTTCTTGTGAAATGACTTATGATGAGTTCCCCATAAGGAGCTTGTCTTTTAATTTTTTTTTTTTTTTTGCAAGTCAAATGAAAAAAAATATCTCACGGCACCATTGCCCATGATTTGACTGCTTCGGAGCAAAACTCAAGGTAGGAGATGTGATTTTTTTTCCCCCCCCACCTTCTGAATGCTAATTTAATTTACACTGATGATCATTCAGAAACTTACCTTGCGCAATATTATGTACAGCCCTTCGTTCGAGCTGCACTTGGTTTTTTTTTTTTTTCAAGTGCTCTATAAATAAAGTTGAGTTGAATCTTTAAGCCTCTCCACTCTTGATAAAGTTTCCTTGTCGGATGCAGGGTGCACTTAAGGAACTGCGATGATTAGGCGTTCCAGTGAACCAAATGAATAAAAGGTCTTGTGACACCTCAGGAAAAAAAAACAAACAAACGAGTTTAAGTGCGCTGCTTCACGGCAGCCAAATAGCGAGTGGGTGAAGACGTCCCTCATTTTCTTTAGGGGAACGTTTACGAGGAACGACAAGCTAAGTTGATGACCGGAGTGCTTGTTTTTCTTTTGGTCTGCCATTGAAGACTTTGCTCGCCTCTTGGCCTCAGTTCACCAAAGCCTTTAAATGTTATTAACGTCAAACGTCCCCGGTGGCCGTCACTTGCTGAAAAAGAGTCCTTCACTGGGGGGTGCGCCCGTCATGCGTTGAAAACTTGCCAATGGGCCGTCATACGCCGAAATGTATTGGGCGAGTGGCTGGGCTCCTTCCGTGCCGAAAAATAATCGTTGAGGAGCTGCGAGCGTCCGTGATGGCCAGGATTGGACTGTAATTTAACAGGCGTTCGGGGAAAATTAACATTTATCCGACATTACCGATAGCCGCCCGGCTCCTGGAAACAACAGCGACTCAAAAATACTTGTACATGTGGGAGTGGAGGTAAAGACGTACCAGCTCGGACACACTGTGTAGCAAATGCATAGTGGGTAATCTTTTTTTTTTTTGTGGGGGGGGGGTTAATTTTTATTTTATCTTTTGTTCAGTAGCAGGTCCTTTTGTTTATGTTTGGGCATCAAATTTTGACGCCACACAGCGCACAAAATGGCATAGACAAACAAGTTTGGTAATTTAAATTCACCCATCTGTTTTGTCAGTGTATCTGCTTCCAATTGGGGCTGATTTGAGCGAATTTCCTCGCCCAAATTTGTGAAAGTACAAGCCAAGTCTGGTTTCGCCTAAATTTGCCATTTTTTTCAGGGTGGGATTACGATCGGAAATTGACACGAATGGTTGGTTCAAACCAAAATGGCGGACTTTGTTCACTTTTGGACAATGGGCTGTTCTGTCATGACAGCAGTTCTGATCAATTTTTCGCCAACTGATGAAATTATTGTCTGACGGCTATTTTTTTCTAATAAAGGGCTCTTTTTTTAATGGTTTGTTTTTTAATGTAAACACAAGGGACATACTGAAGTACAGTGGCTCTAATAGGACCAGAAAGTTTAAACTTCACTAAACTAAGTGTTTGATATCTTCCAGCAGAGGGCGCTATGAGATCATCAGCCTCCCCAAAGAGGCTGGCGGCCTAATTGGAAAATGTATTTTATTCCCTCATTTCTCACGCACCGACTGCTCGCAACTTTGCGTCGTCATGACAACGGAGAGCTACCGAGGTGGCGCCTTAATTAAGAGCAGCAGAACCCGCTGAGGTGACTAGCCTGAGTGTATGAATGCTCCATGTAACATCATGTAGTATGATGCCACTTGTGCATGTGCGTGTTGGGGAAATAGTCACCTTCTTGTCAGTTCTGAAAGATTGCAACTTTTTGCTTGTCACGTACAGGGAATCCTATGGACAAATATAAATGTGACACACAGACATGCACACATAGACACTCCTACAAACCAACGTGTACACTAGGGTGGTCCACATTTTCATGGCAAAAAAAAAAGTTTGTCGGATTCGTCGGGCCGGGTCGGAATTCTTGTCGATACTATGGTACAAGGTTCTGTGCAAAATTTCATTCCGATCTGATGATATTTTCCCGTCCCGCAAAGCGGCCAAAGTTTCCACCATAACAACTGGTCTCAATAGGGTGAACATGTGTATTTTAACCGTGTATTTTGCCATGCGTGACACTGGCTGGGCTGAATGTTGCCCGAACGATCACCTCCTGACTAACTAACCATTCCATCGCTGCTCTCAGCAGCCGGAGACAAACTCAAACGCACGCCTAACACACAACGGTCACCTACTGGCGAGCTAATATCTTTCAATTGAAGTCGAGAATCGCCGGAATTCTTACTGGACGCTGAGCTGAGGACGCTTTTCGACATCGAAAAAAAAAAAAAAAAGAAGAGCACGAGGATCGGCAGTTCCTGCTGGGCCAGGAGAAGCGTTGCGTATTGCGTTAGTCGTGGCTGTGCCTGCGTTCAGCATGGCCGCTGCAACTGCAAGACGCTCACGCTCAGCCACCGAAGTGTGGCTTGTTGGGCAGCCCGAAGCTCACCACGGCTCGTCGGCGCGCTCGTCACCTACGGGTGGTGAACGACTTTGCGGAGAGGGGCGTCGCCCTCATCAGCGCGTTCTGCGGCGCCATTACGCGCGACGAGGAACAGCGACAGCACCTTCTGCAGGTCGTGGAGCGACACCGGGCGTTGCACCCGTGCGCGAAGTAGGCATGGGATGGCACGCACGGCGGATTTCGTTTTTTTTGCGGTCTAACAGTGTCACTAGTGTTGATGGACATTATAGACAGATGGACAGATAGACAGATGGACCAGTTAACATGGACCAACAATCTCACCAGTGTTGAAGGATAACCACGGTTGCCTTTTTTGCAATACATGCGTTCCTGTCTTCCGTCTTTGAATTATTCCAAGTGCGAACTGAGCAAAACAAAATCCTTACTGTACGGGAGAAACCGTACTACCATTCAGCCCCGTAACATTCTTTCCATAGGGGAAACTTTGGTCGCTCTGCGGGACGGGATAAAATTATCCGATCGGAATAAAATTTTGCACACATCCTTGTGTCATAGTATCGACAAGATTTCCGACCCGGCCCGACGAATCCGACAAACTTTTCCAAAATGGACCACCCTAGTGTACACCGATGCTCGCACATGTAGAAACACAAACCCTTGCATTGAAAAAAAAATATATATCCATTGGATTTACGAACATGTACATCAGATGTACATGATTAAATGTGGTAAACGGATATACAGTCATTTTTTTCTTCCTCGAAAATAAACAAATGATGTGCTCCATTCTAATCACGTGCAACCAAAAATCATGTACTTTATTTCAGTGTGTGACACCTCTCATGTCATTTTAAAGGGTCCTCGACACCCCCGCCAACATGCCGGGAAGTGCACATGTTGCCTGGCTCCAGCACAATTGACTCTTGAACGTCGTCTCGGTGGAAATTCACGGCCGAGGCGAGAAAAAGTGCAGCGAGTTACCGGGCCAGAGAATCCCAGAGGAGCACGGAGGGCACAAGTGAGGTTGGTGGCAACAACAGCAGGAACGAGAAAAGTGGCAACCTTCAATGAGAACGAAAACGTCAAGAGCAAGCAGTAATGACAACTAGCAGTACTCAAAAATCCCACCTAAAATCTCCTTCAACCGCAGCCAGGGAGGGATCCCTGCAGACATCCGCAAATCAGGCGCACAGAACGAGTGGCACAAGGGCACAGCACAACAACCTACTCCAGAGGACCAAGGTGTGTCACTATGTGTTTGTCACTCCAGGGGTTCAGCAGTCAAGCAGGGCAAATTAACCCTTTTTTGTTTTGTTTTTTCCCTTCCACAGCCTGAGGGGCACGCACGCGCGCACAGCCGTACACGCAGTCCTGGCTGGGCCGGGATGCAGCAAGCCGCTGAAGCGCACCGGGATGCGTGATGACTGCAGCGTTCCAGGTGAGGGAATGT